ATATTTTAATTAAATTAATAATTTAATAATTATATATAATATTAATAAATTTAATATTAAAATTAAATTAAAAAATCTAAAAATTTAAAAATTAATATAACTGATAAAATAAAATTTAAAGACTTCAATACAAAAATATTATTTTTTTATTAGATCAAATTTTTTTATTAAATTTTGATTTATTTTTTAAATTCAAAAATAAATAAACAAGTACAAATTTTATAAAATATCAAATCAAATTTAAATATAGAAAGAATAAACGAATTCAAATTTATTTGATTTGTTTCAAATTTTAAACGTTTACAACTTTACAAATGATATAAATGACCCCATGGTGGGCTTTTGGACGTTTTTACTTCTTTTAAAATTGCTACTTTTTTTTGAATAGAATAAACCGAAAAGGCATTGGCTTTTCTTGTTACAATCTATACCAAACCAAAAAAAGGAATGGAAGTCATAATCGGAAGTCTCATTCACGTAATCAATACTGGCATCATCCCGCCCAACCCCCCTCTCCCAACCCAAAAAGATAAAAGAAAGAACAAAAGAAAAGTATGAGTCACGTGCACTACCTACTAGATGATGAAGGCATTTCAAAAACAACAAGGAAGATCCTTAACCCCCAGATTCTTAAAGGTGGAAACTGCTCGTCTATAGTAAAGACAACATGTAAGTTGCAATACAGCCTTCATGGAAATATAGGTTGCGAAGCCAACTTCAAGGACAGAAAAAGCGCGGGGCAGCCTGTCTCCAGGTGATACCGCAAGAGGCCAAAACCATGCACATCAGCACAGGACCAAACATTTATTTACAGGGACCATAATGATAAAATAAAATTAATTGCTGGCCAAAATGAACCGAGTATTAAATGATCCCAAGCTGGAAGACGCTACAAAAAACAGGAAACTAAGTCCGTGTATGTGTGTGTGAGAAAAACAGCTAACTGGACCAGCTTCCTGAAAGAACATTTGCTTGAAATAGATGCACCTATCAGATTATTCTGCCACTTTCTAAAGTAAAGGTTAAGCTTACCTGTGCAAAGCTTACCTGTGCAAACCTCTTTGTGGAAACAACTGCAATCCAACTTGACTTGTGCAGTACATTTGTGAGGTGTATTTGATGTTGAATGCTGCCGCAATGGAGAAGTGCCCTTTGAATTGATTAAATTTTCTTTTTATTGAGGAGAAAAAACTATATTCAACCAATCAAAAGGGTGTTTCCCCACCGAGATAGCACCTGGCATCAAATAAAATCATTTGTGATGTACATGAATATTCGGGAGTCACTACAACGAGATTCAAACACAAACATAAAACAGGTAAATAAACAAAAATGAAGAGATTTCACAATCCAAGTTGATTTCTCTATTTGGTTTACGGCTTTTTGGGCTACTACATTTGGCATTTATGCCCCAAAAGCTCATAAGCCAAAAAGCTGCAATCTCTTGACTTTTGACTTCCAGATTTTTTGGGCTTAATGCCAGCACAGAAGCCATAAAGCCAAGTGATCACTTTGTACTTATAACTTTGACCATTCCATTTTTGATAAAAGGAACATCCAATTTGAAGCATTATATACAGTTGTTTCAAGTTGGTTGGCTAGCACAAGGGCCACATCAAGGACAATTAAAAGATATGAAAAAGAATGAGGTTTGTAGGGTTTCAAAGAAAAAGGTAGACTGGAAACTTCCCTGCATGGTACAGCGTAGATGCTGATAAAAATGAAAAGGCACTGCAATTCTTCCAGTGGACTTATTTGCATATTCATTAATATTTTCTCAGTAAAGAGGGATGTTAATTGCCTCTACAACAAACCTCGGTCACACAAAGGGAAGCAAATACATAAGCAGGTCTCAAATGAATGAAGAAGCATTTAACCCTCTCCTCCCCACTATCTTTCTCTTCAACAGAAACGAATATAATAAAGAAAAAAGAAAATGGTCAAACACAATCCATCACCGTGAAGTAAATGCTCGACAGCACAATTAATTTCTGAATGTTACATCACCACTACACAAGTAGAACATGTAAAACATATTGCTAATATTGTTGCATAAGAAGAGGATTATCATTCAATGTAGAAAGAAAAAAAATATAACATATCCTTTACTCACTCCTTACAGCATGAGATGCAGGACTCTGATATTAAAAACTTTCAGTTGCTCTGGTCCTACAGAACAGATAATCTACGAAAGCGCTCAAACACTAATGTGAGTGCAACTGGTCTTAGACATTAAAATCATTCACATGCAATCATTTCAAGTTATGAAAAAGTTCAGGGAGGCATCTGAACTAGCATTCCATTTCCATCTTTATGCAATCTATCCTTCTTAACAGTCTCACCAATCAATGACGGCATCTGGAGATTGTAATTTTCATGTTTTGACATTTGGAACCAAAAGGATAATAGAATTTCCATTAATAGGGTTCCTTCTCATTCAACTAATAAATTAGGGAACAATAATACTTCACACATCTTCACCTATCTACACAGTTCCTTTCATTCAACGTTTACCATTCTATCACTTCTAACTCACGTTAATCACAATTTTCTTGTTTGGCATTAAAAGAACAACATAAACAGAAAGAAGGAAGAATAAGAATAGCTCAAACCATGAAGAAACGTACATCTAGTCTGCCAGATGTACTAGATTGGTAGAGGCAAATACTGGACCATTTGGATTTTGAAGCATCCACCAAAACCTCATATTTTTTTGAGTTCACCAATCAACATTGCCCATCAATAAAAATAATTTCTGATAAAATGATTAAATGACCGAAAATTGCAAGTCAGCATTTTCATCAGAATAATCACTTTCAGTTTTTTACCATTAGAAAGTTAAAAAAAATGCATTATTTAAAAAATAGAAAGAAAGATAAGTTTGGACAAGAAGCTCTACTTAGTCCTCGTGAGTGACAACCTCAACAATACATCCTGAAGAAACATTGACTCAAAGTTTCTGCCAGACCACCTGGCCTGCCTAAGTCACTGAAAGATTTTCCACATACTGCCATTTGTTTTATCACATTCTTCCAGATAACCTACGAAAATCTAAAAGATCCTGTTAGGAAATAAGAATATTTTTTTGACTGCATTTTCACATTCCAAAATCCAATTGCACCTTAGAAATTGTCTTTAATAATTTTATTCAGTGAGAGATGCCATAGACCATGTTCTAGAGAGAATATTCCCCTGCTCCTCCAGCCTGACCATTTGTTTTTCCGCCAAAATGATGAACAGATAGAGCAAGTCTAAGGATGAGAACTGCACGGGTTCAAGTCAGTATCTTCTCAACTTATTCATCAAACATAAACATAATTGCTCACAGCATTTATTTAGAAAACAAGAAAATAGTGTTTGACATATGCCAGCATCATATACAGACTTGGGTTAGTCACTAGAACTTCTAAAGTTGAAGTAATAATATCTCTAGATCGACCAAAGAACCTAATCAATCTAAACCATATTAAATAACCACGTTTTTGCAATAGATCCATACCTAATGTGGACCAATCAGAGCACGCCATTCGGATGCCTCTTTGGACCAAGACCAAGTTTAGCATTCTAATTCCATCAATTTCATTATGATTATTATTGCTCCAGACAACCCAAACCAATCCAAACAATTTAGTTAAAATGAATCACGTTTAGTAAATGGAAGCCCAGGATTATCCAAAAAGACATATTAAAACAAACTTAGTTTCTTCAGAATTTGACATTTGTTAACTCCAAGAATGCATTTGTTCACAAACTAGCCAATCTGATTCTAGTATAATAACTTTGTATGGATAACTAATTCTAATATTACTATATCTGATAAGTCACAATTACTTCAGGCGGCGGTATTGATTAAATTTAGTTAGTAAGAACAGCATCTCCATAACATATGACTTTTACTAAAAGGAAAATTTATGCCAAAGATTAAACAGTCTAGTGCAGTATATTTATGACAGTACCAATCAACTTAATTCCCAAATATCTAAATTATTATACCTGGAAAAAAAATGTACATAGCTAAGTTATCTTTCATTTCTCTTTTCATGTATCAGGATTTCAAAACACCCAAAAAGACAAGCTTTTAGTTCTAGAACAAATGTGACAAGTGGACTAGATGTGGAATTATATATGTAGGGATTTTTTACCTCTTATTTAAAGGGGCACATTAGTTCAGAGAATCATCCTCCATCTTTCTAAAGGGCAAGAAACTACTGGCAACATTAAGATTTAAGAATGCACTAATTCTTAAATTACTCTTATCTTCTACTTAAGTATTAAAGCATCTAGCAGCTGTCATGAATATGAAGCAGTTCAACTATTAATTGAACATCACATGGTCATTACCTCAACTTTTTATGTTGGCAGCAAGTTGCCCAGGCTTTCTGATGTAAAGTTCAAAGAGAAGAGTCACCAAAAGCATGTTCCCAGAAATGCTTTGCTTGCAACGTAATCCATTCCTTTTACAGCCTTGGCTTCACATCATTAAGCTCACCTTATATGGAACTCCAAGAGTCTGTTTTTAAATGACCAAGCAGGTAAAATAATAACCAAAGAGCAAATTCCCTCATCTGTTTCCAATCAATAATCACTCTGTCTGGTAAAGGATGAAAAGCTATTAAGGAAAAGCAGAGCAGATTGAATTTATTAAAAAATTAAAAAAGAAGATAAAGCCAATTCAGATATTGCAATGGATGAAATAAAGTTCTGCTGGCTAGGACAAAAAAGCTTCTGATTACTGAAAACAAATACAAACATGGGAAATCAGAAAGATAACAAAAGCTGGTAGATTGGATGATGATAGTAGCAGTATAAATCTACTTTGACTCTAAATAAGACTGCCCAATAGCAAGAAAATGGCAGCTGGAAATTACACACAAAAAATAGCATGAACTTACGAAAAGGACATATAGCTAAACACTTATCAACCAACAAAACTTGATTTCAGCTAATGATTTGTTGGATGGAGATAAAAAAAAGCAACACATGGAAATTCTGCAGAAATCTCATTTGCACTCCACTCCTACTTCTGCAGCTCTCCTAGGCTTGTTTTTCCGCCTGCTTCCATTTGGTCTGAATCCAACAGATTTGAGTGAATCATTTGCGCCAGTTTTTGTTCCCACACCATTTTCCCCTTTGACAGGATATGAACTTTCCTTCAGTTGTGAAGATCTCTTCCTCTTTCTCCCATTTTCCATATCAGCCTTATTATTCACCTCTTTGTCAGAGATGGTGATTTTTATATCCTCAGCAGCATCTTCTACTTCTCCTTCCTTAACAGTTTCTTCTTCTTCAATTTCATCCCTCACTGCTTTTTGAGGCCTTCCTCTCTTCCTGTTTGGTGAAACTTTTTCTTCCTCGCCAGTTGCAGCATCCTCGAGAACACCAATATTGGACTGTTTCTTTCCTTTAGCTCTACTCTACCATAGTCACAACACCTCAAATGAAGTTTAAACACAGAGCAAATTGTCTGTAAACTTGCAAACTGAGAATTAGGGACCAAAAGAAAAATCAGATAGAGCTACTACATGCGCTCCAAAATCAATAAACAAACGGAACTCGAGAACAAAAAGCAACAGAAACACATCTACCATTCTGCAGTGCCAAAAGGACATAAATCTGATATACTCAAATCTAAATATATCCAGCGAAGAGAAGCAAGATGGTAGTCAGTTGGGAACAGAAACAAGACCAAAAAGGGGCAAGATTCTAACTGTTGACTAATAGGAAAGCAATTACAAACAAAGCATAAACTTGATTCATCACAAACATACAAATTAATACTTGCTTAGTCCAATTAATAGGATAACTCATGAAACCATGAGGAACTGGAATCAATATAAACCTGTACAAAGAATTGGCCAGAAAAAAGGGGAAAAATCATCACAAAAAGTAGAGAATGAATTTATCATAATAAAAAGAAGCAACATCACCACCCAAAATCATCGTTTCCACAAATAAAATCATCCAAAGTTAAAAGAAAAAAAAAAGAAGAAATCCGATCCATTATTTGAACAATCAAATCCATCTACCAACTCAAAGAAGTATAAAGAGAAATAAATCCATACTTACGATACCGTTAGCATTCACGAGGGAAGACCCTAAACCCAAGTCAGTACATAGCTAGGAGAATATTAGCTATCAAGCTTAAAAGAAATAACTTTTTCTGCGAACCTAATACATCACACAGAATATAGATCTATATCCAGTGCTTCATGAAGAGAACGTGAGAAATGAAGCTGACCTCATAGGAAAACAGCCGCCATTTGCATCTCCAAGAAAAACCCTTTTAAGAAATCAGATTACACCGATCAATAAACTAAAAGGGAACCCATTTATCAGATGGGCATATAGATGTCAACAGCTTTTAACTCTAATGGAAGGAAGGAACAAAGACTGGAATAAGCGGTAGAAACTGTGACTAGAGTACGAGCCAATGAGAAAGCAGATCAGAAGACAATACAGATTGGCAAAACTATTGCTCAGGAAATAAATCGGGAATCGAAGAGGAGAATCCCTGCTACTAGAAGCGAAGAAGCTTCCCCATGAAGTAGCAGAGAGAGAGAGGCAGGGAGGAGCAAATGGAAGAAAATGGCACGAGTGTGGCAGCCAGAAGGGTGAAAAGAAGTTTTATTTTATTTAGTGATTGTTTGGGTATCAAAAAGAAATAGAGACAATAAAAGAAGATATTGGTAAATGTGAAAACTTTTAAATACAAAACATTTCGTCGTTCACATGTAAACATGTCTCGCAAGCTAACAGTTCAAGTATCGTTCTCTCTTTTCTTTTTCTGAGACACTTCTCCTCTTTCTACTGTAATTAGAACTAGAAGTTTATTCATACTCCATACTATGCTAGGATTAAAGATTTTTTTTTATTGTAAGTTCATCAAAATAACATTAAATTTGTGTTAATAACATAAATAAAAGAATAAAACTATTTATTAAATTTGTTTAATTATCAAGTGAAACGCAATGAACATAAAGTTAACACAATTACATTGTTTGTGTAAAATTATTGTATATTTGGTGATGAATAAAGTGTCATTTTCTTGGGTAAAATATTTAAGTGGTAGTAAATACTAGGTAAAATATATTTAATAAGCATAAACATAAATGTTCCATTGTTTCTCACATTAATAAAGGGTTCAAAAATGACACTTCCAAAATTTTAGTACAGTAATAAAGCACATATACTATGGGCTTATCCGCACATTGGTCAAGATAATAGTTTCTTTTTAAAATATTTTATTTAAAAAGTGTATGTAACATGGTTCCTTAAGTTTAATTATATGATATGCATAAAATCTATTAAAATAAAAATTGTCAGATATTTATTTTACTCTGTTCAATATAAATATTTTAAATTTGTAAAAAAATCAAATGAATTAAATAAAAATATTTAATTAGAGGTACTAAAGTTCTTTAAAGAATAAAACCCTAAAATTTATATCTTAAAATAAATAATACAAATGATAATGATTAATGATTCTTAATTACATTTTTCTTTTTAAGATTAGGGAAAAGAAAGTTTCAACTCGAACTATGAACTTAGATACATTAAATTTTTTTAAAATAATTATCGTTTGCAAATATTTTTTTAGGCATAGAAAAATTAATACTTGGTTTTAAAGGGACATAGCTGTACTTTCCATACAGTTTATGATCCTCACGCAACCAAAACCACGGGCAGCTCTGAATTTTCCCTTTTTTTTTTTTTTTCTTTTAGGACACTTCTCAACCTCGGCGTGGTCCCCTTATAGTCAAATTGAAAAATGGGTATGGGGAAGTCATTGACCAAAAAGGGGTTCCTCTACTCTAGTCCATACAGATTTCTGTAGGGGCATTATGGTACTTTCGTGGTGTTAAGCATATACCATGGACTACAACTAACGTATTAGCAGGCTATCTTGACCAAGCCGCAAGGGCCCACCGATTTTCTTTTTCTTTTTTTTTTTTGCGTTTTGTCTTTTTAATCCACTCACTCAACTTAGTTTATAACCTTTTTTATTCATTCAAGCATTCGGTGATATTCTTATTCATTTTATAAGTTGAAATCAATGCTGTTGTTATCCATTTTTAAACATATATTTTTACAAATTCAAATATAATTTTTTTATAAACATAAAAGTATGTTATTATAATTTATTAAACTGTTTAATCTCTTAACTGGCAAATAATCTCTTTAAATTTTTTTATAATTCATTTAATTACATATTAAAGGAATTTAAGGAAATTAAGTTTAAATATAATATATTTGAAAAAAATTACTTTAAATAAAGTGAGTTTATATATTTAATTTTACAGGTTTTAAATGAACATAAAGAAGATAAACTTAAGAAAATTAAATTTAAATAAAACAGATTTAAATGATTTTAAATTTATTTAAGCTAATATATCTATTGAATATCTTGAGACTTTTGAACTTTTGTGACCAAAAACTTAAGTAAATCTAAAATCATTTTTTTTAAACTTCAAATATCAATTTTCATTTAAAATTACATTTATAAAATTTTCCACAAATTCTTAACTTAGGATAATTATTTATTTAATGTAAAAATGGTCAAATGAGATTTTAATTTGTCATGACATGAAGGCTCAAATAATGGGAAAAAATGTATTTATTAAAATAAATAAATATGGATCTAGTTTAAAATGACAGAAAAGTCCTCCTTTTGTGGTCACAACTGGCGGGGAGCTGCACTCTGAGCTGGATGTAGATGTAGTAAGTTTGAGATTTTTTTTTTTTTTTGCTCTTTCATTTTTTCAAAAAGAAAGTTGATTTTTTAAAATTTTATTTTTTCTTATTAAAATGTCTCTCCCCTTTTTCAACTTGGTGGGCCTTACGTGGGATGAATTGTTTGGTTATATAAAGGAATTGGGCTTTGAGGTCGAAAAGTTCTCGAGTTTCAAAAAAATATCATTTTCTAGGTGTTTCCCGACCCGACGGAGAAGAAGAATGTGAAATAAGGGTGCGTTTGGCGGCTTAGATTTTTTAAATTACTACTTTTAATGCGTTTGAAAAAGTTGAATTTTCAATTTTGTAGTTCAGGTTAGAAGTTTAAAAAATATTTCGAATTCAAAGTCTAAGATTTCTTAACTCAAGAATTTTTTGAACTCAACGTATGAATATTATCACTAAAAGAACTTTTAAAGGTTAAAAGGATGCTGTGATAATTGAGTTTGTGAAAGTAGAGATTGAATATCTTAGTTCCAAACGCGTCACAAGTTTATAAGCTAATTTATTGAGTTTAATATCAAAAAAATTATTAATTTTTTCAATTTTGACTTATTTAACGTATGAAGTTGAAAAATCTGCAAAAAAAACTTCTAATGAAGGAATTAAGTATGTTTACGATTAGCCCTCTATTTGGTTAAGGGAAAATCCAACGGCTAAACGCCAAACTAGGAATAGTCGTTCCTCCTCCAGTCCTTCGTATTCCTCCTCCCAAGTTTCTAATGTCACGACCCGGTCGTCGAGTCCGTGACCGGCGTTAGAGTTAGGATAAACCCAACCCCGCAAGCCTCAAATACTCAATAAATAACAGAACAAAATAAAACTTAACTTGATACAGAATTCAACGTCTAATAACAAACTGTCGAAAAATACATACTCTTATTGAAAACCCTGTCTGTGATCACAAAGCTAAAAAATAGAATAACAAACCATACAACGAAGGAAACAGAAACTAACTGCTAATCTCGAGAACCGAAACAGAAAGCAGACTCTAATACTGAAGCAGAAGCAGAATCGATCGACTCCTATCACACGGCAGGATCTGGCGGCAGAGTCGAAACCTGAGTCTGAAAAATAAAAATGACGAGTCTATTGACCCAGATGAATAATAGTACATATTTATATGACGAGTGACATATATCCGGTATTTTAGCACAAAAATACAGTTTACACAATTTTACAGTTAGGGAGTTCGAGACCGAGAACTGAACAGAAACAGGACGGAACTCATGGTATGCCGATATACAGATATCAGGACGGCGACTCAAAGTCTGCCGGAAAATCAATAAACAGGCCTACCACGTCAGCCACACGTGATAGTCTAGCACCACCCCTGCTAGCTGGGGATACAAGTCAGGATGCATCCAGTCTAACGCCTACTGCCGTTAGCTACAGTGTTCTAACAGTACGATACTCCTAAAATTATTTATCAGAGTTTATCAGAAAAAGTTTTAAGTTTCCAGAGTCTTAAACATGTACCAGTGCTTGAAATCAGAATTTCAGAAGTTTTTCTAACAATTTAGGAAATGACATATACGTCCCTCGTAACTTTTCTAACAATTTAAGTTCCACTGGATAATAAACAGAAGAAATTTTCAAATTTGTAAAACAGGAAAATTTCAATAAGTAAAACAACATTTTTAAACATATAAACTTATAATATTACTCACAGAAACCGAGAATCACGCAAATCGAGTTTCGGCAGTTCGGCTCCTCAAAATTCAACCACTTAATCTAAAATAATCAAAATGTTTATTTTAGAACATACTATTCTCAAAAATTAAATTATAAACTAATTTATTCTTAAAATTTCAACCCTCTCTTTAATTTTTATGTTTTAAGCTATTTCGGAATCTAAAGTCCCGAACTGATCAAAATCCTACTAAACCGGATTTCTACAATGGACCGGCACAATATTAAATGACCAGTAAGAAAAAACCCACAGAACAGGGAGTGAAACCCAGTAAAACCGATCTCACAACAATAAACCGGCTTAAATCCACTAATTTAGTCAAAAAACTCATTAAACGGTCTTGAACTCGTTGAAACCGGTCTTGGAATGCATTAAACTAGTTATAAAAGTCAGTGAACCGGACTTAAGAAATCACTGAACCGGTTAGTCTTTGCCTGAACGGCCTTAAATAGCTTAAACCAGTGGTTTTCTAATTTTTCATCATTTATTTAATCTTGGACCGGCCGGTTCCCATTGAACCGGCCGGGTTAGCCTTGACCGGCTACTCATCACGTAGATAATTTAATTACCTAAATTTTGGTATTTTGAACGGCCAAGAACCGGTCTGGAAAGGCCTGAACCGGCCGGGTTCTTTGCTTCTGTTTTGTTTTCTGTTGT